AATGTCCAGCCATGGAGATAGAAAGTGGTTGCTGGGGCTGTGGGGGAGGGGAACAAGGAATTGCCCACTGAAATGTGTGGGGTTTCTTCTTGGGGAGGTAGAAAGGGTCTAATGGTGATCGCGGTGCTGGTTGCATGCAGCGCACACTCACTGAACACCACTGACGCGTATTGTTGAATGGGTACATTGTATGCATGTGAGTGACATCTCAACCAACTATTGAGGGAAAACAGAAATTAAAGTGCAACAGGTCTAATCATAGCAAGGACCTTGGGGGTCTGATAGGAGATTTCATGGTCCAGGGCCTCTGGCCAAAGGCACATGCAGCATGAGGTGAGCATGAGGTGGGCATGAGGTGGGTGTGAGATGAACTCCAGGTGGGTGTGAGGCGAGGTGGCCGTGAGGTAAACTTCAGGTGAGCATGAGGTGGGCGTGAGGTGAGGTGAGTTTGAGGTGGGTGTGAGGTGAGGTGAGCGTGAGGTGAATGTGAGGTAGGTGTGATGTGGGTGTGAGGTGAAGTGGGAGTGAGGTATACTTGAGGTGGGCATGATGTGGGGGTGAGGTGAGCGTGAGGTGGGTGTGAGGTGAGGTGAGTGTGAGGTGTGTGCGAAGTGGGTGTGAAGTGGGCATGAGGTGAACTTGAGGTGGGTGTGAGGTGAGTGAGGTCGGCATGAGGTGGGCATGGCATGAGGTGGGTGTGAGGTGAGGTAGGTATGAGGTAAGTGTGAGGTGGGCGTGAGGTGAGTTTGAGGGGAACTTGGGTGAGTGTGAAATGGGTGTGAGGTCAATTTGAGGTGGGCGTGAGGTGAGGTGGGCATGGTGTGAGGTGGAGGTGAGTATGAGGTGAACTTGAGGTGGGCGTGAGGTGAGTATGAGGTGGGCATGAGGTAGGCATGAAGTGAGGTGGGTGTGAGGTGAGCATGAGGTGAGCATAGGAGTCTCGTGTGAGGAGAGGAGAATCACCACATACATGGAGTAGAAGTGGACCCAACCTGGCTTGCTGCCACAGGCCCAGTTTTCACCTCCGAAGCCTAAATGTCCATCGAGATCCAACCCCTCGGGTTACCTGTGGTGGAGTGTAAGGCC